ACTGTTAAATGAGAAACTATTTTGTTCTGTAAGCCTTCATCTTAAGTGAGAATAACAGCACAATTGGAAGAGCGTAGTCAATGTCACTGAACTGTGTATGTAGAAATTTTTTTGAAACGGTGTATCTTTGGCTATGTGTATTTTCACCAAAAAAAAAATGGTAGAGAAGTTAGAGGGTTAATATGTTGTGGGGTTGTTAACCAGTGTCATAAAACAACCTGTGTACTACTGTTTCAGGAGAAAATAAATAAATAAATAAAAGTCCTTCTTTCAATGATGGCATGTAGCACCCATGATACAAGTAGCTATTTTTAACCTCAGCATCATCAATATCATCCTCACCATCACCCCTGGGGCCTGGCACTTTAATTCCTGGAAAAGGTTAGAAGAGTTTGGAAGCTTCATCAAGAATATCTTCTTGATAATTTATGGTCACACTGAAGAAGACTAGTCCTCAGTTTCTTAGATGCAGCTTAACACAATTGGAAAAACCACGGAACTTGGCATCAAGGTCCAATCTGACCACTCAGGAATCACGCGAACCTGCACAAGTCACTTAACTGGCCTGGCCTGCAGTCATTACCTCGTCCGTAACCCAGGAACGGTGCTCACACCTACCTCACGCAGTCGTACAAGTGACCACTGACAAGACGAATGCAAAAGCAGTGTAGGAATCTTAAAACCTATTCCCCTATCTTTGCATCCTGTGTTTCTGTCTCTAAGCTAGCTTATCAAATGTGATAAAACATTTTACTAAATTCCACTCTGGGTTAAGCCTGGGGCCAGGAGAGGATGTAGAGAAAAGGAAAATGGCCTGGTGCCATCCATACTCTTCCAGTGGTGGGAAATTGACTTTCACTGGGAATCCGGATGGCAGGATGGAACCTTCTCCTTTAACAACAAAGACAATCCCATCACTATCTCCTACCCCTCTCAAACCACCCTCAATTCTAGAAAACCAACAAACCACAATTGCCCCATCCTTCCCCTATCAGGGTTCATTGGAACAACTCAGATACACCAAAAACTGTCTACTGGGGCAGAACTGGGCTGTAGTCATCGGGACCCTCATGAGTACCCTGCCTTTAACAAGACCACCCTGGGCCTGCATAAATGGCCACCCTGCATCCCTGAACAGAACCCCTTACCTGGGAATCACCGGTGGATTTTCGGAGACTCATGTGGGCAGTCTCTGGAGGGTGTGCTGGGGTCCCTGACACGTGGTATCCATTCACTGCAGGGACAGAAACACTGCTCAGATGCTCGCCACGGACACGCACCTCTACCATTACTGCCAGTACAGCTCCTCCATCCAACTCACCCCCCGGTTCTCAAACGTCTTGCATGGCTATGACCATCTTTCGGGATCTTAGTATTTGCAGAGCTGGAAATGGATTGAATGCATCTTTCTAATCCCCAGCACCGATTACTACTTTCCTGGGAAACTGAGTGTCATGGATTGAATTGCATCCCCCAAAAATATCTGTCAACTTGGCTAGGTCACGATTCCCAGTATTGTATGACTGTCTACCATTTTATCATCTGATGTGATTTCCCTATGTGTTGTAAATCCTATCACTATGATGTAATAAGATGGATTAGCGGCAGTTATATTGATAAGGTCTATAAGATTAGGTCATGTCCTAAGCCAATCTCTTTGAGATATAAAAGAGAGAAGTGAGCAGAGAGACACAGGAACCTCATACTACCAAGAAGGCAGCACCGGGAGCAGAGCGCGTCCTTTGGACCTGAGGTTCCTGTGCTGAGATGCTCCCAGACCAAGAGAAGACTGATGCATCACAAGGACCTTCTTCCAGAGCCAACAGACAGAGAAAACCTTCCCCTGGAGCTGATGTCCTGATTTTGGACTTGTAGCCTACTAGACCGTGGGAGAATAAATTTCTCTTTGTTAAATGCCATCCACTTGTGGTATTTCTGTTATAGCAGCACTAGATGACTAGGACACCGAGTTTCTTCTTGCACTCGAAAGCAAATGGAATGCACTTAATAGATGGCAAGGTCAATATAGTCCAGCTGCTACATCCCCAAATGCAGCATCAATTGCAGTCACTGGTAATGATCCAGTGACTATATATAAGGGTCCAGTCTCTATATAGTCAGGCGGTCCCTCCACCACCTTCCTATAGTCCCCCAGCTCTCTCTGGGCAGCATCTACACCCTCACAGCAGTGTGATATGGGTATAAAGGAAAGGGAATTGAACTGGTTGACATGGAATGTGGCTCTGCCAATTAATAGCCAGGTGATCATGTGCAGATCATCTTTGAGTTACAGTTTGCCCAGTTTAAAAAAAAAAATCAAAAGCTCTAGAATCCTACCCCTACGACTTTATGTCTCCTAGGGGACATTCTACCACTTGTCTGTCAGTTTGTCATACTGTGGTGGCTTGTGTGTTGCTATGATGCTGGACAGGTTTCAGCAGAGCTTCCAGACTAGGAAGAACGGCCTGGCGATCTACTTCCAAAAAGTAGCCAATGCAAACCCTAAGGATCACAACAGAATATTGTCCAATACAGTCCTGAAGATGAGTCCCCTTGTTGGAAGACACTCAAAATATGCACTGGCCACAACAATGGACCAGACAACATTTCATTCTGTTGTAAATGCGGTCGCCATGAGTCAGAGCCAACTCAAAGGCAACTAATAACAATAACAGAGGACATTCGCTCATGCTCCTGTGTGTGGTGATGAACTGCTTCTCCAAGGTAGGAGAAAAAAGCCCTTGTTGGTAGCATTCACATGGCATAAATGGTCTAAATGGTCCCACCATGCCCAACTTCAAGCAACCCACATTATCTCATACCCCTGACATCACAAATTTATACTGGGGGCGATGCAATCTGAGTTCCAGAGTGGTGCTGCTCTCTTGTGGATATAGTTACGAGAGCTTTGTTGTTACTTAGCTGCCATCAAGTCTGCCCCTGACTCATGGTGATCCCACGCACGGCAGAACGAAACACTGCCTAGTCCCGCGCTATCCCCACGATCATGTCTATAGAAGGATCCTGATTAAAAGGGGGAAAATGTAGAACAGAACTTCAAATTCTCAAAGAATCCAGACTTTCTAGAGCCATGGAGGCTGGATGAACCTCTGAAACTACTGCCTGAAGATAATCTTTAAAACTTAAACCAGAAATATCCCCTGAAATCTTCTTAAAACCAAACAATAGTTTAGCTTAACTAGTAAAGAATGTCTGCCTTGAGCATTATGCTCTTTTAAGATCTGTGTATATGAGATCAAATTGACAACAGCAGCTCAGAAGATTAGATAGGAACCTCAGGGGCAGTGAGTTTATGCTAATGCGGGAGGAACAACTCAGAAAAGGAGGATGAAAATGGCTGCACACACATACCGGACAACAGAAAACCGGGGATTGAAGCCGGCTGGTGACTTGGGGATGCAGCAGGACAACACAGCAGCCATGCTGTGACCAGCTACAGGCCTGGCCTACACCCATACCCCTCGGGCGGCTGGCCACATGCTGGTAATTCCTGTACCAGTGAGTCCTCCAGCTTACGAGGGGAGGCCAGGACTCCAACATCAGGGAGAACACAGAAAGGGCCTCAGAGAACCTACTCATACTGGCATATACTATGCCAGAAAGGCATCAGACTGATGATAAACACGACCCACAATGAAGCCATGACAGTTGATAAATTTTATTTATGAAATATGGTGCTGAAATGGATAAACACAAGTACTGGAAAATCTAAAGGCAATGGTAGAAACCCTTAGTATACTGATTGCAGTCTGTGACTGATGGAACCGACAACGTAAGGATATAGAGGATCTGAATAATCTAATTTAAAAGAGTGACTGAACCAGATGTATTAAATATCATACTTTACAAACAAAGATAACATCTTTTGCCAGGAAGTTATGGAACATTTAAAAAAAAAAAAAAGTTGGCCATATTTAAGCCACAAACTGTCAATAAACTGCAAAAGGCATAAATAACACAGGTCACAGTCTTTGACCAGCAATCAAGAAAAGTAGGTATAAATAATGAAAGAACAAATAAAGAAGGTCCCCATGCCCCCAACTACCAAACACTTGGAAATTCAAGAAAATGCCCTCATAAATAATCTCAGGTCAAAGAGGAATTTAAAACTGGAATTACAAAATATTTAGAAAATAATTAAGAAGAACATATCAAAACAAATGGGATAAGGCCTGGATTATTCTTCAAGGAAAATCCGTAGCCTTAATGATTTCATTACCAAACCTGAAAGAATAAAAATAAATGGACTAAACATTCGACTTAAGAATTTGGAAAAAAAAACAGGCCACTAAAATAAACCTAAGGAAAACAGGAGAGAAGACTCTAAATATGGCAGTAGAGATTAATGAGTCAGGAAACAGAATAACATTAGCAACCCAGAGCTGGGTCTGGTCTGTGCACGTGTATGCATGCACACGTGTGTGTGTATGTGGGGGCAGGAGCAGGAATCATAACAATAAAAAGGTAGATTAGCCAGTCTAATTTGAGGAAGCAAGAGACAACACAAATGCTCAGAACTAGGAATTAGAAAGAAAACACAATCACAGCAAATATAGACAAGACTTTTTTTTAAATGCGTGAGTACATGATTTATAACTGTACGCTACTGAAGGAAAAAGCTTCCATGATATTATCAAAATGGTTTCAAGGGATACACACACAGGGGGAAAAAAGAAAAATTGCTGTCGAGTCAACCCTGACTCATGGCGACCCCATGGTCAGAACAGAACTGTGCTCCATAGGGTTTTCAATGGCTGATTTTTGGGAAGTAGATCACCAGGACTTTCTACCGAAGCACCTCTGGGTGGACTCCAACCTCCAACCTTTTGGTTAGCAGCCAAGCGTGTTAACTGTGTGCACCATTTAGGGTGCAAAAATGATCTCCCCCACAATGGCAATGGACCCAGATGGTTTTATGGGCAAATTCGTCCAAACGCTCAAGAAAAAGATACCTGGACACAAATCATACTAGAGCATAGAAAACATGTGGCAAGTTTCTCACTTTACTTTACAAAGTCAACATCATCCTGATACTAAAATCTAACAAAGACAATACAAAACTGAACCACTCTTTGGTCTAACTATGAAAATGAAACACGTAAATTCTTACCTGAGCAGACCTTGGCTCAGAATCAGTCACTCTCTTTGATGATGCTGTGTCCCTATAAACCAAGATCGTTTCCCAGACCCGTGGAGTCCCTGGGTGGTGTAAACGGTTAAGACACTCAGCTGCTAACCAAAAGGTTGAAGGCTCAAGTCCACCCAGGGGTGCCTCTGAAGAAAGGCCTGGTGATCTATTTCTGAAAAATCAGCCTTTGAAAGCCCTGTGGAGCACAGTTCTCCTCTGACATGCATGAGGTCACCATGAGTCGGAGTCGACCCGACAGCAGCTGGTCAGAAGCTGCCCGTCTTACCCCTGCTTACTCTGGCCTCTGGCTTCCCTGCCCAGCTTCCCCCAGGCTCACAGCCTGCCACTCTCCCAGCCAGGAACTGTCCAATGCGGGGGCACTTTGCCCCTAATCCAATCCCTTGTTCTCACTTCAGTTCTGGTCTGTCAGCTGTTAGCTAATTACCGCTCATGTCTAAACAATTACCAAGAAAGAAAAAATTGTTCTCCACTCAACCATTTCTCCCCACACAGCAGCTTCCTCTGACACCCAACTCCATCTTGCTGCAGCTCACTCTAACACTCCAAGCATGTTCAGAGAAGTTCTCTGTGGACAAATGGCTCCTCAGAACCCCCTCAAGGCCCACCCGTGAGCCTTTGTATTGGCACCCCAGTCCTGGGGACCCCCAGCTCGCCGAGGGTACACTGCAAACTAAATGCGGTGACCGGAAGCTGGGAAAGGCAAGGACGGATTCTCCTCCAGAGCCTCTGCTGACACCTTGATTTTGGCTCAGTGAGGCTATTTTGGACTTCTGGCCCCTAGAACTGTGACAGAGTAAAGTTCTGTTGTTCTAAGCCAAACAAAATAAACAAACAAAAATTCAAGTGAGGCCAGAAGTGGGTGTGTCTGAGACCTCCAGACTCCTGGGGTAAAAATATAAAATAAGATTGGTCTAGGATCACTCGTAACCATAGGAACATAATTCACTATGAGGATCGAGTTAAAATGTAAGAGGCCAGACCCAGCTGGGAAAAACAACAAACCAAACCAAACCCATTGCCGTCTAGTCGATTCTGACTCAGAGCGACCCTTCAGGACAGAGCAGAACTGCCCCAAAGAGCTTCCAAGAAGCGTCTGGTGGATTCAAATTGCCGCCCTTTTGGTTAGCAGCCATAGCACTTAACTACCATGCCACCAGGGTTTCCAAGATAAGAAAAGGGAACAAAAGCCTCTAGTGACTTCAAATATAAATACAAACACACATCTATACATTTCATTCCACCTTATGGACAGTTAAAAGAGAGATAAATAGATATCCCAAGCAAAAACAGGGCTTGGGAAACATAATGAGAGGAAGGACCACATATTTGGGTAGAAGGGAAGAAGTGGGGATTGGAAAAAAAAAAACAAAAACCAAACCTACTGCCATCAAGTCGATACTGACTCATAGCGACCCTATAGGACAGAGTAGAATTGCCCCATAGGGTTTCCAAGGAGTGCCTGGTGGATTCGAACTGCCGACCTTTTGGTTAATAGCCATAGCTCTTAACCACTGTGCCATCAAGGTTTCCGAAGTAGGGATGGGAGTAGATTAAAAAAAAGGGGGAGGGGGGACACTCCCATTTAACACCCTTTAAAAAAACAAGAACAACAACAACAAAAAGCTTTCATAGAGTCTATTCTAACTTATGGAGCCCTGGTGGCAGAGTGGTTAAAAGCTCGGCTACTAACCAAATGGTTGACAGTTCGAATCCACCAGCTGCTCCTTGGAAACTATATGGGGCAGTTCTACTCTGTCCCATAGGGTCACTGTGAGTCAGTATTGACTAGACGGCAATGAGCTTTTTGGTTTATTCTAACCCGTGGTGACTCCATGGGTGTCAGAGTAGAACTGTGCTCCATAGGGTTTTCAATGGCTGTGACCTTTCAGAAGTAGATCTCCATGTCTTTCTTCTGAGAGGTCTTGAGGTAGATTCAAACCTCCAACCTCCTGGTTAGCAGCCACAGGCTTACCAGTTTGCACCACCAGGCACTCCCTGACCCCCTTCAGGTCTGGCCTAATCTCCTTTCTCTCTGGAATAAACACAGTAACTTCTTTCCTCAAGGTTAAGAAGCCCAGGAGACCTAAGGCCTTCATTCTCGAAGTCCTTCCATTCTTCCTTCTTTCCTTCCTTCCTTATATCTGTCCATCCATCCAGCACGTATTAAACCTGGTGGAATGTCACGTCCATCCAACCGTTTTGTGAAGAACACTAATTCTGCAGAATGTTTATTAAGTATTTGGGGTGGGGTCTTATGGTCCAAAGAATTTGGGGGACATGCCCCTGTTATTTAGATTTTAATTGGTTTATTTACAGTAGGCCTTCTGTAAATAGAAGGCCTTTTAAAATATGCTGACGTATGCTGTGGACCTCAAACAAGGCAACAGTGTGCAGCATTCCTAAACTTACAGAACACAGAACCTGATTGTGGCAGTAAAGCAGGACGACTGTGGAACACAATTTAGGAAAGACAGCTGTAACCAGAGGGACACTGGTTTTGAACTTCAGCAAACCAAGGCCAATGCTGGGGCTGGTTCTGTGCTCTACAGTTCTGAAGGCATAAAACAGGTACAACTCTTGCTTCCCTCACCTCCTGCCACACCCTGGAAGGCTTGGAAGGTTGCTCTTCCATTACTATCTTCTCCTTCTCAGGAGTCTGTAGCATTGTGATTGTGAAGGTTGTCTGTCAACTTGGCTGGTCCATGATTTCCAGTGGTTTGGCAGCTATGATGTAGTTTGGCAGTCGTATAATCATGTAATCACTTCTGTGATGAGATCTGATACAATGTGATCACCTCCATCATGGGATGTGTTGTGAGTAGCCAATCAGTTGAAAGCGCGTTTCCTTGGGGGTGTGGCCTGCATCCAATATAGGTGGACTCTCTGGAGAGGCTCACAGCCTTTTGTTCACTTTGGATCTGGGCTCCCTCACCTTTCTAGCTCTTTCCTAGGGCTGCTGTTAGCACAGGGTCTTTATCTAACTCTCAGCGGCCTCTATCCCCAAGATTGAGCAAAGCTAGAACCTGAACCCAGGTTTCGTGACCCACCCAGGACCACTTCAATAGAAGATTCATTTCTTCCATCCTTAAGACAAACACAGATACAAGCTCAATGCACATCCCAGGCCCAGAATGTCAGAAAGCGTTCACTCTCTATACACTGGCTGATATGGTAAGCCACTAGCCACTTGTGGCTATTTAAATATAAATTAATTAAATTTAAATAAAATCTAAATTCCGTGGCATCCAAGATTGGATAAAGATCTGAATAAGATCTGAATAAAGTCTGAGGTTAGCTAACAGTAATGTACAATGTTGATTTCTTAGTTTTGACAAATGTACTAGGGTTATATAAGACATTAATGTTAGGGAAAACTGGATGAAAGCTGGAGTTCCTGGGTGATGCAAATGGTTAACATGCTTGGCTGCTAACAAAAGGTTGGAGGTTCCAGTCCACCCAGAGTTCCCTGGGAAGAAAGGCCTGGGGCCCTACTTTTGAAAAATCAATCATTGAAAACCCTATGGAGCACAGTTCTCTGACACACACGGGGCCGCCATGAGTCAGAATTGACTTGATAGCAAAATGGCAGAGGTTTTTTGGGTGGTACTATCTTCGCAACTTTTCTGTAAATCTAAAAGTATTCCAAAGTATAAAGGTCATTTAAATAAATTAAAATTTCACCTCCTCAGTTGTACTAGCCACATTCCAAGTACTCAATAGTCTTGTGGTTAGTGGCTACCAAACTGGGCAGCACAGAGATGGAACATTTCCATTATCACAGAGGTACAGGAGTCCAGTGACAAGGGCCAGAAAGCAGAAGGGGACAAAGAAGCTGGTGATAGGGAACCCAAGGTTGAGTAAGGATATTGTTGATGTGTTGTGAGATTGTTAACCATTGTCATAGGGCAACATTTGTAGTAACTGTTAAATGAGAAACTATTTTGTTCTGTAAGCCTTCATCTTAAGTGAGAATAACAGCACAATCGGAAGAGCATAGTCAATGTCACTGAACTGTGTATGTAGAAATTTTTGAAATGGTGTTATCTTTGGCTATGTGTATTTTCACCAAAACAAAAAAAGGTTGAGAAGTTAGAGGGTTAATATGTTGTGGGGTTGTTAACCAATGTCATAAAACAACATGTGTATTACTGTTTCATGAGAAACTATTTGTTCTGTAAGCCTTCACCTGAAGTACAATAAAATATTAAAAAAAAGAAAAAAAAACCCAAAAGAACCAATAAGTCCTGTCCATGGGTGGCCCTTCAAACGCCTTCCAAAAGCTCACAAAGCTACAACACAAAAGTAAAACTGAGCCACAGGGCTTTCTTATTGCTCTGTCTCTACGAAGGGGAGGCTGGTTTGCCCGGGTTAATTTGTGGTTCCTGCTGACATTCTCCCCGACCTAGTTTTCCATGTTCTTCTTCAGGAGTAACCACGTGTGATTCTTGTGGTCAGTAAATGTGGTTGAATATAACCCAGCAATCCCCTTCTAAGTGAATATCCAAAAGCACTGAGAGCGGAAACATAAAGAGATACTTGTACACCAGTGCTCACTGCAACACTCTTCACAATACCCAGAAGGCAGACAAAGTCCATCAACAGATGAATGGATAAACAAAATGTGATACATACATCCAGTGGAATATTACTTGGTCATATAGAGAAATGAAGTTTTGATACATGCTACAACATGGATGAACCCTGAAAATGTTCTGCTGAGTGAAATAAGTCAGCCACACAAGGCCAAATATTGTTATAATTCCACTTATAGGAAATCTATAGACTAGGCCATGTATCTAGAGACCAGTTTACTAGTGGTTACCGGGGACAGGAGTGAGGGGGAAAAGAGGATCCAGTGCTTTAGGGGTACTGAGCTTCTGTTACGGTGATGGAAAAATTTGGAAATGGAGAGCGGTGATGGTTGAACAACATGATGAACGTAATTAATGTCACTGAATTATACATATAAAAAAAATGTTGAAATGGTAAATGCTTTGTTACATATGAGTACAACAGCTTTCAATGAGTTCTGTGAGTCCTTCTAGTGAATTAGCGAACCTCAGGGTGGTCTTGGGCATCCATGAAATTGCAATGGGTACAATAAATGAAGGTGTTGTTATGGATTAAATTATGTCCCCCCAAAACATATGCTGAAGTCCTAACTCTTTGTACCTGTGAATGTGACCTTGTTTGGAAATAGGGTCTTTGAGGATGTTATCAATTAAATTAACATGAGGTCACACTGGAATAGGGTGGGTCCTAATTCAATATGAGTGGTGTCCTTATAAAGGAGAAGAGCCACAGAGACACAGACCCAGAGCCGCGTGACACTGCAGCTGCAAGCTGAGAAATGCCCAGGACTACCAGAAGCTGGGAGAGTCAAGAATGGGCGTTCCCCTAGAACCTTCCAAGACAGCTTGGTCCTGCCAACACCCTGAATTCAGACTTCTAGGCTCCAAAACTGTGAGACAATAAATTTCTTATAAGGCTTCCAATCTGTGGTCTTTTGTTACAGCACCCTAGGAAACAGACAGTGGCCTTGTGGAATGCTCTCTAATTTCGCTGTTGGTGTGAGACGTGAGGGTGGTCTTGCTTCCTAACTTAACAGCCTGGTACCCAGAGTCCTGGCCTTCTGGTGAGGAGGGTGTGTGGCCCTCTCCGTGCCCCACAGGGGTGAGCAGACAGTACCTGTTGGAGGCAGAGCGCTCCTCTGAGGGCCAGGGCTTGCCGGAATCCCAGGAAAGCTGCTGGGACGCTCCCAGGTGGTCTCTGGTTGAAGAAAAAAACAAAACAGCTTTGAGAATTTCATCGGGTGGAACCAAGGAGTGTCACAGAGTAGAACTAGGTGGCCACAACTAGAAAACATAGAGGCTTGGCATGTTATCTCCCTCTCAAACCCCAGCCAGAGAAAAACCTATTTTCCCTCCCACATCCATCTTCCTGCCTGTCCCTACAGGAGGATAGAGCTTCTCTTGCTGGTGGCCCTTCTCCACGCCGCTGGGGCCAGGAAATGGATTTCCAGCTAGGATCCCCTGAGATGCCCCCCAGTACCATTTCCCTTCCCCCAAGGCTGCAGAGGGACAGCCCTCAAAGCTTGGGCTGTCAACTCATCCACCTTTGCTTCTTTTCTGAGGGCCACAAACCCTAGCCCTGAGACCCCAACTGCCTACTGGGCATTTCTCCCCCAAAGTCTCCTGTCAGCAGAACCTCCAAAGCACAGAGGAGGGAGCCCTGGCCTGGGGTCTGTCAAGAGACATTCACGCTCTGTAAAATGACAGTGGTTTCCAAGTCATTCCTGGTCCTACAGCTCTGCGTCTCATTAAACTATAACAAGTGACCTCTGCTGCATCTGACCAGCCCTTTCTTCATCCCCAAATGCCCAGCTACACAGTCCAGCGAGAAACAAAGCTAGTACTCCAGCTTTAGCATTATCCCCCAAATGCTACTTTACCCATTTCATTGCCAAGACCATAAACTTCTTATAAATTTTTTATCTTAGGATAGAAGTAATACTTTCTCACGATATAAACAACAACAACAAAAAAACCAAACCCATTGCTGCTGAGTTGATTCTGACTCATAGCGACCCTACAGGACAGGATATAGCTGCTCCATAGAGTTTCCAAGGAGCAGCTGGTGGATTTGAGCTGCCAATCCTTTGGTTAGCAGCCAATCTCTTAACCACTGCGCCACTAGTGCAGTCTGATAATCTAGAAAAACACGCCTTAGAAGAAAATAAGTATCACCTGTAATCCCACCAGGAGTCCTCAGGTGGCACAAATAAGTTAAGTGCTCGACTACTAGCTGAACTCTCCCAGAGATGCCTTAGAAGGCAGGCCTGGTGATCTGCTTCCGAAAGGTCGCAGCCTTGAAAACCCTATGGATTGCAGTTCTACTCTGTACACGTGGGGTCACCATGAGTTGGAATCAACTCAACGGCATCTGACAACAACAACATAATCCCACCAAGACACTGCCAAGCACTGGGGGATACAAAGGCAGAGGTTAAGACACTTATTATTTAGCAGAGAAGCTACTCATTCCCCCACCATTCTTCTCTTCTCCCATCCTTGAGCCCTCCAGTGAATGAGAACTACAAGCAACAGAGTCTCAGGAAACCAATGGAATGTGCCCAGGAGCAGAAAGCAGGAGTGCAGCTGTGAGTACCAGTCACCTCCCCACTGGGAATTCCCATTACAGAGTAGAAGGCCATGGTGGCCTCAAGGAGCTCAGGTGGAGTGGGCTCTGCAGCCATAGGTACATGCTGGCCTGCAGTCAGAGCCCTGCTCTCCATGCTGGGTTCTGATAGAAGCTCCCTTTCCCTGTACTCGCTGGCCTGGGTCACTCACAGGTCTCTCCCCCAGATACTGCAGTCCCTTCTTTCTATAAGCACCATCTCTCTCCTCCAACCTCCAACTGGGCTCCCTCAGGGACAATGTAACAGCCTGAAGGTTTCAGCCCAGCCCAGTCTTGGCCAGGTCTGACCAATCTAAAAATACAGCTGTGAGCTTGGGGCAGGAGTGGGGCCATGTCAGTGCAGGCAGACATATGGAGAGAGCTGCTGGGCTCTGGCGCAGTGACTTCACCAGCAGCAGGACAAATTACCCCAGATGACCATACCACCCACAGGGAGAAAGCCATTTCCAGGCCTTCTCTATTTATTGTAATCTATTTACAGCACACCAGGCTCAAGCTCACGGGCCCAGCCAAAGCAGCATCTTGGGGCCCAAGGGACCCTGGATGGAGGCCCTTTGGATTCTCTGAGGTCCCATCCCTGTGGTCCTAGGTCACCCCCGGTGACCACCCAGATGCCCATGAACAGAACCACTACCATCCAGGTCCAGAATGCCCTGGGAAGCACTGTGAGGTCAGAGTGGAAGGAGTGAGATGTGCTCCCCAGGGAGCCGCCTTCCACCTGACCCAATTTTCCCGAAACCCATTTTTTCCTAATGGCAACCGTAACTCAATTTGGACCTCTACTGCGGAAACCCGGGAAGGCAAACACACACAAATGAACTGACTGTGGGTGAACTGGCCCAGGCAGGTGTGGCTGCTCCAGCCACCAATACTACAACTACAAGCCAGACATTTTAATTTCCCCATCTGTGGATTACAGTGGCTGCCCCAGGTAGAATAAAACTCTTAAAGAGAGACTGTCTTTGAAAGGCTGAAAGCTATGTAAATCCGAGTTTCAAAGCACAGATGGCCCCTCTTTAAAAATAAAGATACATAAAATACTAATAAAAACAGTAAGCTAGGCACAATTTATTTTAAACGGTCATTTCCAGACTTCACTTCCTATGACAGTAGGAAAGTCACAGAAAGACCCTTGAACCTAGACTACAGGTTACAGTGGCTGCATGGTAGCTCTCTGCTGCCCCCAGTGGATATCAGGTATAACATCCATTTTCAATCACTTTACACGCATGTGAAAGTTGAATAATGAAAAAGGAAGACCGAAGAATTGATGTGTTCAGACCGTGGTGTTGGTGAAGAACACTGAATATGTCGTGTAAGGCCAAAGGAACGAACAAATCAGTCTGAGAAGAAATACAGCTGGAGTGTTCCTTAGAAGTGAGGATGGTTAAGACTTCAACTCACTTGGACAATCATCAGGAAAGACTAATCGCTAGAAAAGGACATCGTGTTTTGTAAAGCTGAGGGTCAGTGAAAACGAGGGAAACCCTCAATGATATGGACTGACACAACAGCCATAACAATGGACTCAAACATATCAATGAAGATGGCGCAGGGCTGGGCAACCTCTGGTTCTGTTATATATAAGGTCACCGTGTGTCAGAGCAGACTTGATAGAAATCAACAACAACAAACTAGTCCAGTGGAATAGGGCTTTTGGGTCCTGCTTGCATCTTGGATTCCTATAGTCCCCTTCTCTTCTTTGCCTCTCTGTATTTTCCTTCTTCTGTTTCTTGTTCTCTCTCCTTCCCCACTTGCTGTGGCTTCTTCCCTTGTTTGGTGGCAGCCCCAATCATAGCTTCTCTCCTCACTCCTATCTGAAGGGCAGCGGGGACAACACAGAGGGAGCCAATTCCCATTACATAGTATGAACTACAAGTCAGTAAACAGCCCAACTTAAAAACAGCAAAGGACATATACAGTGGTTTACAGAAAAACCATTACGAATGACCACTAAACATGAAAAGATGCTCATTGTCACTCAAAACTAGAGTAAAACAAACTAAGACAACAAGTCACTATTTTTTCACCTGTCAGATACGTAAGATCTTTCAAGACTGAAAGTATACGGTATATAGTATATGGTAAAGAGGTGCTTTTCAGGGCAATGGTGAAAGACTGAATTAGTCAAAGAATGCTATTAGAACGGGCAAATAATTTGAAAAAATATTAAGGAAGATTCATTTCTCACACATTAAAATGTTTTTAATGTATAAAAAGTTTCATTTGGATTTAGATTTTCAAAGCCAAATTAATTGTTTTAATTAAATTTCATCTGGATTAAAAAAATTTAAGGAAAAAAACAGTCCATCGGAATGGTAGAGGAAAATATTACTGTCTTTTGATGGTGTCTTGGTCATCTAGTGCTGCTATAACATAACAGAAATGCCACAAGTGCATGGCTTTAACAAAGAGAAATTTATTCTCTCACAGTTTAGGAGACTAGAAGTCCAAATTCAGGGCGCCAGCTTCAGGGGGAGGTTTTCTCTCTCTGTCAGCTCTGGGGGAAGGTCCTTGTCATCAATCTTCTCTGGTCAAGGAGTTTCTCAGCACAGGGACCCCGGGTCCCAAAGACGCACTATTCTCCTGGCTCTTGTTTCTTAGTGGTATGAGGTCCCCCTGTCTCTCTGCTGGGTTTCTTTCTTTTATATCTCAAAACAGATTGGCTTAAGATGCAAGCTAATCTTATAGATTGAGTCCTGCCTCATTAACATTTATTAACTACCTTTAATCCTGCCTCATTAACATCATAGAGGTAGGATTTACAACACAGGAAAATCACATCAGATGACAAAATGGTGGACAATCACACAATACTGGGAATCACGGCCTAGTCAAGTTGACACATATTTTTTGGGGACACAATTTAATCCATGACAGACGGTAAAGGTATTTCTAAGTGTGATTTTAAAAGTAGATATTATAAAATGAATCCGTTGCCGTCAATTCCAACTCAGAGCGACCCTATAGGACAGAGTAGAACTGCCCCATATGGTTTCCAAGGACCTGCTGGTGGATTCAAACTGCTGAGATTTTGGTTAGCAGTCGAATGCTTAACCACTGTGTCACCAGGGCTCCAAAAAGATTGGCTAATTTGTCTATAACAGAGCTTAAAAAAACCGGAATGAGAAGTTTAAAACACCATAAAAAAATTAAAACTGTTGGCTACATATGATAAAGATGCTTCACTAAGAAATGCCCAAACCCCAGAGCTCCTCCTGTGCAGACTCATATACCACTGACATGACGACTTGGTTACCATTATGTGGACCAGCTGAGAGTCATGTAGAACAGGACGTGGGGTGGTCATCTTTCAACAGGAGCAGCCATGCCCTGCTACATGCCTACTGAAGAAGAAAGGGCAGATATGCAGACAGAAGCATCTGTGGAGCAAACCCAGGGAAACGACTGGACATAAGACATCATGAGATCCTAGAGACAGGGCAAATCAGTTCAGCACCTGATCTGCTAGTCCTTAGGTTAGGATTCTGTGAGATACCCCACACCTGTCTAATAAATTCCCTCTTCAGAAGCTTGTTTGAGAGGGTTTCTATTATTATAACAAAACAGTC